AAACCATAGCTACAATTTTATTAGCTTCTACCAAAAGTTTCTTTCTTTTGTTCTAGACCCTGTTAAACATTAGTATACTATTTCTGTCCTTTTGGGTGCAGGGAGAAGGATTGAAGCACAAGTCTAAAAGCTCTCTAGTTTTCAGCCGTCTGACAGCAAGATAAAGTGCTTACATATTGCTGTCTCTTCAAAGTTATGACTTACCTTGGAGATTAGATAATCACTTTTGCTATCACTCTAGAAATTATAGAGTATTACTGAAGTTACTTCAGGGCATCTGAAGAAATGTCTTTGCTCTTTCAGTTACTAGAATAGATTTTAAGAGCTTGAGCATAAAATGTTTGTGTGAAGCTGTCATTTTTATTGGTGAAGGAAAATGCGTGCTTTTTGATTAATAGACCTTTATATTTCTAATGTTCTCATTTTAAGTAGCATATTTAAAATTCCCTTTGAAAATCTTAGAATCTCCTTAATTTTTGGCTGGCACTGTGATTAGATAACACAAGACTGGAGCAAATTGTGATTATCTGTCTGGTAAAATTTTTTATAAGCGTATGTTATGGGAAAAGGAGTCTTGGAATAATAGAAAAGAAATTTCAGTGTTTTATGCTTTAGTCTTATCACCAGCATTTAGAATAAGAAAATATACATGGTCTCCCGTGGTTAGCTGCACGTATTCTCTTGTTCTGGGTCATTTTAAGAGGCAATATAAAGTCATTTTTTTTAAAAGTGCTAGAATGAGAGGCAGTAGTTATAAGATCTGATCTCAGCTTTTCCACTAATTAGTTCTGACTTTCAAGAAGCCACTTACTACTTGGATCTTAGTTTCTTTATCATTTAAAGGAGAGGGTAAGATTAATGAACTCGGGAGAAGACCTCTTCCAGCTCACGTATTTCAGGCTTCTGTGATTCCTATTCTATATATTTGTAGATAAACATCATTTTAAATTAAAAGCAGAAACATTGTGTGCCTCTCTTCAAATGTACCAAAAATGCGTTTATAGAGGAAAAATTATATACAGTGTGCTTGTGTAGACATCATGTTTGAGAAAGACACAGGAGAAGCGAACTTTGGGAGAGGGGATGGGAATATAGATTTAGAGAAATCTTAAGATGGATAGTGGTGAAGGCGAACAAGCTCACATTGGAGGGCATCCATCTTAGTGAACTAGGAAAACAAGGTTATTGACTGAAGGATCTATGGATCCTTCACCCCTAGGATCTGGAATGAGTTTGAAATTTAAAGAGATTAGAGAAAATTTTGACCAGGTTCTATGGGACATTTTCCGGGGACTCAAATAGAGATGAATAAAAGCAGTGACCCAAACACTGTTATTATCCAGTGTGCTCACCCACTGTTTCTGCAGACTTGGAACAGAATGGCATTTTATCATTTCCAAAGGTCAAATCTACTATGAGGATGAATGTATATTAACAGTGAACACACTTTTGTATTGTTCCACAAATGCTAAAGACAATTCAGGACAGTAAGATACATCACTTTTAGAAATAGAAATAACATGATTGGAATAATGTATAGACTTCTAAAATGACTTGAGGTGACATTGACAATAAAAGGCAAATAAAATGTTCTATAGCTGGACCTAGGCAGTATTCACTGTAAATATGCAGGCTGATTTGTGCCTGCTTGGAGCTCTGTCTGAGGAAAGGGCTGGAGCAGGGTGCAGCAAATGAATATTCACCATTCAGAGGGTCTGTTTGGCTTTGCACACCGTATTTTAACCTCTCGTTTTCCCTCTTATAACATGTTATACAAGAGTTTTGGTTAACCACCTGAAGGAGAAGGCTATCACAGCACGTATCATTCTACTGTAGAGTTCGTGGAGCACCACTTTTTGGATGCTAGACAACTTAAGATTATGATAGAAATATTCCGGTTGCTATTAAATGTACATTCATTTGAGCATTCTAAAAGTGCAGTTTCTTTTCAGCATTAAATGTAATTAAAGAAACTGTTTGATTGCATATTTTTAGATTTCCTTTTCTAAGTCATTAAACTTAAAAGTATCGGATGAAACATTTTAAAAATTATTCTAAGATTGAATTTTCAATGACAAAATAATAAAAATGCCCATTATATTTGAAGAGAGACTTCTCAGTCTACCTTTGCTTTTTTTTTTTTTTTTTTTTTTTTTTTTTTTCAGAAGTGAAAATGGGTTTGCTTACCTTGGGTAGGGAGCATATTTCTTCTTTACTACCTCTACCACCACCAGCAATACCCCACCCCCACAGGGCGCTGAATTGTCATGAAAATAATCAAGAGCTCTGAGTTTTCTGAATGATCTGGGAATTCAGCTAAGCAAAAATCTCTCTACTTATTTAATACCTAATGTTGTTTAAAGCTTTCTCAAAACTATAGTATTAACCATACATTTATGGTGGTGCTCGTTGCAGTTCGATGAAGAATTCACAGCTCGACAGGAAGCTCAAGCTGAGCTTCAAAAAAGAGAAGAAAAAATCAAAGAACTTGAAACAGAAATCCAGCAACTTCGAACCCAGGTAATGAAAGAAGATATAGACTTTGTGTCATGTCACAGTGAGTTCGATGGTAGAAAATTATCTTGTTAGATAGAAGAAAAAATGTGACCAGAAGCTGACTTTTTGGCAGTTTTACATTTTAGTTGAAATAACTCTACAGATTTGATTTTCCAGGACAATAAATCATTTTAATGTTTGGGAAAAAAAAATGAGGCATTAGTTGTTCAAACTGCCCTGAATATTTTTAACAGAATATATTACACAGGCAAAACTGTTTTTGAGATGAAATTTTTATGATGATTTGAAAAATTGGGTGCATAGTATTTTCTTTCAAAAAGAATGTGGAAATGCTCATTAATTGTAATTATCCCCAAAGCTTCTTGAAATCTCTTTAAATCTCAAATAAAATCATTTCAAAATCTATAAACTTTGCATTTCCACCTACGTTCCCTATGATCACATGCTCCCATATACACTTAAGTTCTTAATTAGGGTGTCTAAACTTTAGAACTGATTAAGTACTCTCCTCAACACACTTTATGTCTTAAATGAATATTAAGAAATTGAAGGCCGGGCACGGTGGCTCACAACTGTAATCCTAGCACTCTGGGAGGCCAAGGCAGGAGGATCGCCCAAGGTCAGGAGTTCGAGACCAGCCTGAGAAAGAGCAAGACCCCCGTCTCTACTAAAAATAGAAGGAAATTAGCTGGACA